GATAGAGTTGTCTTTGCCTGGGGGGACCTGAGTCTGTTTATGTATAAATAGACATAAGAAGAAAAATGAACCCAAGCTAAACTCTTTGGCCTCCTTTCTTCTGACAAGCGCCAGTAGGATCCGAGAGCAGCGCTGCCACCAAATCCTGCAAACTGTGTTTCAACACCCCGTTCCGAGGTGCCCAGCGATCAGGTTCCGATCTGGTGCTGGAGACCCGCTTTCCCTTCACACGCTCTGAGAATCTGTTCTGTCATGTACAGGGCCTGTAGCCCTGGCTGATTCCTGACATGGGTGCGAGAAATCACATGGGAAAGTGATCACATGGGGACCAGGCATTGTCTGATGTGTGGGATTTTGTAACTTGTCCCAGGCAAGGTGGCACTTTTTTTTTTTCTTTTTGGGTCACACCCGGTGTTACTCCTGCCTCATGCACTCAGGAATTACTCCCAGTGGTGCTCAGGGACCATATGAGATGCTGGGAATTAGAATCGAACCCGGGTTGGCCATGCGCGTGCAAGGCAAATGCCCTACCCGCTGTGCTATTGCTCCAGCCCAAGGTGGCACTTCTGGCCGGGCTTATCACCCTGTGTGTGACAGAAACCCGCCAAAGTGTATTCTTTAAGAGGTAGAAGGATTTCCCTTTTGATCCATGGAAGTTTCTCCTTCCCTTGATGCTCCCAAGGGTCTCTGCTACTGAGTAACACCCTCATAGCCCTGACAACAACCCAACCTTAAAGTGGATTCTATGGCTTTCCCCGCCTCCCTAACTTCCTCTGTCTGGGGTCCTTACTCGGGTCAGAGTGATCCCTGAGCGCAGGCTCAGGGGACTATACACAATTCTGTGACTCTAACTCGCTGCGTGTGACACTCTGGACTCTGTCTCCAACCCCTTGAGTGCCATTCCAGCCAGAGAAGGTCTAAGTGTGTTCTCTAATTTACCTCTTTTCTCCTCATCTCTGCTCCTTTATCTCTTGCCCATCCCCTCCTTTTCCAGCCCCTATAATTCACTTAACCAGAGCCTAGTCTTAATAAGCTTCATTGGGCTCAACTGGGCCCCCAGCTTTAACTGGCAGGTGACTTCTAAATCCAGCTATCACCAACTCCCTTGAACTTGTCATTCCTGCTCTGCCCTACCTGGTCTTTTAAAAAATGTTTATTTATTTATTTTACTGAATCACTGTGAGATAGACCCTTACAAAGCTGGTCATGATTAGGTTTCAGTTGTACAATGTTCCAATACCCTTCACCAGTGTACATTTCCCAGCATCAATGTCCTCAGTTTCCCTCCCATCAACTCGCCACCTCCAGCCTGCCTCTATGGCAAGTGATTTCTCTCTCTCTCTCTCTCTCTCTCTCTCTCTCTCTCTCTCTCTCTCTCCCTCCCTCTCTGTCTCTGTCTCTCTGTCTCTCTCACACATACACAGACACACACACACACACGCACACACACTTTTGGGCTTCGTGGTTTGCACTACCCAGTCTTACCTGCAGGGGGCATTCCTGTCATAACTCTTCCTCAGGTCTCTGCATACTGTACCCATCATCTGATTCTCCCCACTCTGTTCATTTGTTTTTGTGTTTGGGCCTCACCCAGCTGTGCTCGAGACTTAATCCTGGCTTTGTGCTCAGGGATCACTCTTGGTGGGGCTCTGTGGACCCTTTGTGGTGCCAGGGATTAAACCCAGGACCGCCTGTGTTACCTCTCCACCACTCCTTGATCTACGTCCCATCCTTAGTTCTTTATCCCCTGCCTTCCCAGAGGGAACAAGGCTTGGTCCCTGTCTTGTTTACCACTGTGTTCTGAGGGTCTCAGAGGAGACCTGGCTCATAGTGGCAGCTGAATACTGTGTGAGTGGAGGGAGTGGTTTGCCAAGGAATTTGCTGAAGACTGACATAAACAAGGGGAATTGGTTAAGTTTGGGGGATGCTGTTTCTTTCACATCGATGCCAGTGCATGCCACCTGTAGCTCACACTCGAATGTGGCTCAATTGATGCAATTGAGCATCAGTCTGTTCAATTCTTTTTCTGTTTTTTGGGGGGTCACACCTAGAAATGCTTAGGGGTTATTCCTGGCCCTGCACTCAAGAATCACTCCTGGCAGTGCTCCGGGGACCATATGGGATGCTGCCGATCAAACTGGGTCAGCTGCATGCAAGGCAAGGGGCTCTACCCACTGTACTATTTCTCTGGCCTCTCAATTTTTTTCCCCTCATTGTTTTTTTGGGACCATCCCCTGTAGGTGCTCAGAGCTTGTTCCTGGTGGTAAATTTGGTGTTCAGGGAAAACTAAAATCGTTTTGGAAACTTGAGGGAAAGTGTTTACAATGAAACAGCTGGAGGTGTAGCAATAGCAGAAGTGTTTGTGGGCGGGTGGGGAGGGGCACTCAAACCCGGGGGTCTCACAGCTCTACCCTTGACCCACATCCCCCCCCCCCCGCCCCAGTGGTGGTGCATTATGAATACAGTCCCTTACTACAGCAAGTTCAGAGACACATGCAATGTTTGATGATTATTAAATACTTACTTGCAGCATGTTTATTATGGCTTCCTGGTTGTCGAGCGCGGGGATGGACTTCCCATCCTTTCTCTTCTGCAGACAGGGAAAGTGGTGCCCAGAAAGGCCCGAGGAAGCTGCCTCCTTGCGCCTCCTTCTCTGGCCTCAGCGTGGTTCTTGGAGCTGACCCCTGAGCATTCATTTTCTTCACCAGGGCGCCAGTAAATGGATGATCCTTCCACCTGCTGCCACCCCACTTGGAATTTGGTTTCGTGACTGATTTTTGCTCCTGCTGGTTGCCTTTCATCATTAGTCTCAAGGAGAGCTAGGAGTTGGCACTTCTTCCCGCTGCCCAGCTAGTGCAGAGACAATTCAGAATTAAACTTCTTATTGTATCCCTCACACACCCCCGTTTGAAAAGTTGGGGAAACTTGTGCTTATGAAAAACATTGGGCTCCCTGCTGTTCTCTGACCAATGTGTAGCTTGTGAACTTGTGAATTTTTTTTCCCCCCGAAAAGAGTACCAGCAAGATGAATAAAGAGACTACAGTGCCATCTGCTGGCGGGCAGGGAGAATGCAGAAGAGGAGCGACCTGTTTTATGTAACCACAAAAAAGCCAAGGGCTAATTCTTCAAAATATTTCTATACTAAGAAAGTCACTGTCACTGTCCTCCCGTTGTTCATCGATTTGCTCGAGCGGGCCCAGTAATGTCACCATTGTGACACTTTTTACTGTGTTTGGCATATCGAATACGTCACGGGGAGCTTGCCAGGCTTTGAGAGTAGTTTTTAAAAAAATACAAAATTTGTAGGTTAGTGTTTTTTTTTTTTTAATAGGGGACATGAAATTCTAGCGAGATCTAGGAAGAATGCAATTATATCTTTCTGTGTTTAGGTTCTGGATTTTTTCTTTTTGTGGGGAAGGATTTGGTTTGGGGGCCACGCCCAGCGGTATTCAGGAGTTACTCCTGGCTCTGCACTCCGGGATCACTCCTGGCGGTGCTCAGGGAACCATATAGGGTGGTGGGGACCGAGCTCTGGTCGGCTGCGTGCAAGGCAAACACCCTCCCCAAGGTACTAGCATTCTGCCCCCTCTGCTCTTTCTTCCCATGTGTCAGGGAGTGTGAAAAATAGGCTGGAAAGGCAAAAATGAGCCTTTGAATTTGTCAAGCCTAGAGCTTCAGGAGTTTTACCTCCATTTTATCCTGATTGGGAGAGTGGGTATGTGTTGGAAGGCCAGGGTTCAGCCGTAGGTACTACTGGGGGTTGAGCTGGGGTCATGCATGCAAGGCAAGCATCTTAGCTCCTCTGCTTTCTCCCCAGACCTCTCTCTTAAAAAGATTACTTATGCCCCCCCCACCTTTTCTTTGGCTTTTGGGGTCACGCCCGGTGTTGCTAGAGGGTTCCTCCTGGCTCAGCACTCAGGAATCACTTCTGATGGTGATTCTGAGTCTGATTCCTGTGGGATGCCGGGGATTGAAACTGGGTCAGCTGCATGCAAGGCACACGCCCTTCCCACTGTGCTATTACTCCGGCCCTCTTAAGACCTTACTTTGTGTGTGTGTTGGGGGCGGGCGGGATGTGTCTCCCCAGCACCCTTAGAGATCCCAGGGGACCATTCCCAAAGCTCCTTGACTGAGCAGGCTGATGGTCAGCTCTTGGGCCGAGCCCTGTGGCACTGTCAGGCCAGGCAATACTGGGGCCACCGGGGCAAGGTCATCTGTGCTCACGCTTTGGGTGGTACCGGGGATTCAACTTGTGCCCAGTGGGAGCTAGCCATGCTCCCCTGACCACTGAGCCTGCTCCCTGGCGCCGGTACCATCACTCTGGAAATTCAGAGTGGACAGATGTAGCCAGGTGTGGAGAGCACTGCAGGGGAGCTGCCTCCACTGTGTGTGTGGGTATGTGTGTGCATGTATATATGTGTGTGTGTGTGTGTGTGCAAGCATGCGTATGTGCATCTGTGGGCTCCAGCACTGATAGTCGCTCCCTGCTGGCCTGAGCTCGTACAGTGCTAGGTCGATATTTTCTTTCTGGGGGGTAGTGGATGGGGGTGCTCTTTTCTGGTGATTAAGCCAGTCAGGCTGACCCTTCAGTACTGAGATGAAAGGTGTAGAGCTGTTTGGGCCATACCCAGCAGTGTTCAGGGAACCATGGGGTGCCAGGGATTGAACTGGGGTCGGCCACGTCATACAGACACAACCCCTCTGCCATCTCTGCAACCAATGCACCTCCTTTTCTGTTATCATTTGCCTTTTCCATTCTGGGTGACTTAATATGTATGACTTATGGTTGGCAGACACGGTGGGCTTTTTTTCCTGGGGGGCATCTGGGGTCTGTCTTCCTCTGGGGATGGGTGTCCTAAGTGTTGACAAATGACCCCTGAGCGGATGTCCTGAATGGCAGCAGGTGGCAGGAAATGGCCAGCAGTGTGGACCCTGCCCGGCCCGTGTTCAGTTGTGAGGCTTCTCAGATGGTAACAGCCTGTGTTTCTTTGTTTTCCAGGAACGCTCTTCACAAGTCCAACTCAGAGGACGGCTCTGTAGGTCAGTACCGGCTGGCTCTTGGCTTCATGTTTAAAATGTACTTCCTCCTCTTTATACTCACTGAACACAGACCCATCAGCACGGAGAATCCTTCCACCTAGAAATAAACTCGCTTACAGTTTTGGGTGTACATCTTTGATTTCTATATTTTGATCCAAATTATGGGTTTTTTAAAATGCCCTTAATTTGGATCAAACTGGGCATATTTTTATGCGTGTGTGTTTTTAAATTAAGGTCACACCCAGAGGTGCTGTCTAGTCTCTTGGGCTATACCTGGCAATGTCTGGAGACCAAGTGGGGCTGAAGATTGAACTTGGGACCTCACCTAAACTCTAGCTTCTATTTTAGCCACATCTGTGGAGTCAGGAGATATTTATTTATTTTCTTTATTCACAAATAATATGACACATTTCAGCCACATGATTTAATGTTGTTCACACTAAAAAATTTAAGTATCTCATAACATACCACATGCCTTTTTTGCATGTGGCCTGATGTAATCAGCTAATCTCTTGGCTGGACACTTATTTCCAGTTTTCTCTCTATATCATAGGGAAATGGTCACTGTCACTGTCCTCCTGTTGCTTATCGATTTGCTTGAGCAGGCACCAGTAACGTCTCACGACAAATTGTGAGACTTGTTACTGTTTTTTGGCATATTGAATACATCACGGGTAGCTTGCCAGGCTTTGCCGTGAGGGCAAGATACTCTCAGTAGCTTGCCGGGCTCTCCGAGAGGGGTGGAGGAATCGAACCCGGGTTGGCCGCATGCAAGGCAGGCGCCCTACCCACTGTGCTATCGCTCCAGCTCTCTTGTCCTATCATGCATAGTTGAAGTATGTAACCCAGATGTAATCAAAATGAATGCATAATAGAGAAATGGTGGCCTCTAAAAATCATTGAGGGGCTGGAGCAATAGTGCTTGCAAGGTAAGGCGCTAGCCTTGCATACAGCAGACCCAGGTTTGATCCCTGGTACCTCATATAGTCCCCCGAGCCTACCAGGAATGATGCCTGAGCACCTAGTCAGGAGTTCACCCTGAGCACAGCCCCCAAGAATCAAAACCAAAACCAAAATATCTTTGAGCATTAGGATAAATATTTTGGAGCTCTGGGATCAATGATTATGCATGATTAGGATTTTATGTCTTCTACAGTTCCTTGATAGAGCCTGTTCTTAGGTCACAAGGAGCCTGCGAGTGATGGGGGATTGATCTTGTCCCTTCCTTCTGAACAGGAATGACCTGGAACAGGTCATGGTCCCTGTGAGCCTTGGTTTACTCGTCCAGCAAATGGGCACAAGAGCCAGCCCATTCATTGCCGAGAGGTGCCTTTGTGTTTAATGTGCCTGCCTTGGGACTGAGCCTTTGTCATTATTACCTTCTCTCAGGTAGCACCTCCCTCTCAGGGAGGAGGAGGAACGCAGCTTAGACAGACAGACAGTCTCTTCCTAGATTGCCCTGGTGTAGGTGGGCTGGGCCAAATGGCTCCTGCTTTGGTGGCTTCTGCATCTCCCCCAGGCCCGTCCAGCTTGGCAGAGGCAGCCCTGGCCTGCTGGTGCTGGTTTCGTCCCCAGGGCTCAGCAAGGGCCTTCTGCTGGGGCACATGATGCCCTTTGTCACCCGGCTCCACCCCATACTGGGTGGCCACTGCCTGTGGCAGGGCCCCGTACTGCCATCTGGACAGTATGTTTTTATTTTGCTTTTTTGTTTGGGGACCACTTCAGCAGTGCTCAGGGCTGACTCCTGGCTCAGGAATCACTCCTGCTGAGCTCGGAGGGACCACACATACCCGGGATCCAACTCAGGCACAGGCAGGGTAAAAGCCACCGCCTGCTGGACTTGCCTGCTGGGCCCCAGTCTGGACTAGGAAGGAGCTTCCCCGCCCTCTGCTCTGCCTGGTTTCCAGCAGGCCTGGCACCAGCTGGGGATAAAGCACCCAGTGCCTCGGTGGGGATTGCCACGGCTCACCACTTTTTCTTTCTTTCTTTATTATTTTGTTTTATTGGCCCGGAGCGATAGCACAGCGGGTAGGGCATTCGCCTTACAAGCGGCCAACATGGCCGACCCGAGTTCGATTCCTCCGCCCCTCTCGGAGAGCCCGGCAAGCTACCGAGAGTATTCGATATGCCAGACACAGTAACAACAAAGTCTCCAATGGAGACGTTACTGGGCCCGCTCGAGCAAATCGACGATCAACGGGAGGGCCTTTACCTTACCTTTACCATTTATTATTATTTTTGGGGGGGTCACACCCAGCGATGCTCAGGGGTTACTCCTCGCTCATACACTCAGGAATTACTCCAGGCGGTGCTCAGGGGACCCTATGGGATGCCGGAGATCGAACCTAGGCTGGCTGCGTGCAAGGCAAACGCCCTCCCTGCTATACTATTGCTCCAGCCCCACCTTCCCCATTTCTTACAAAATTGGGAGGGAGGGGCATCAGAGATCGAACTCAGGGCCTCACTCTGCCACCCAGCTACAGTCCAGCCTACCCCTGGCGGGGAGATGTGATAGTGTTCGTGCTCTGGGCACCACACAGTTCCAAGGATCAGACAAAAGGCTCACACCGTGCAACACACATGCCCTGGCCGTTTGAGCCATCCACATGGGCTGTTTTGCACCCTTGGGCTTTCTGGGTTTTGTTTGTTTGGGGATCACACTAAAAAATTTAAGTATCTCATAACATGCCTTTTTTGCATGTGCCCTGATGTAATCAGCTAATCTCTTGGCTGGGCATTTACTTCCAATTTTCTCTCATAGGGAAATGGGTCACTGTCACTGTCCTCCCGTTGTTTATCGATTTGCTTGAGCGGGCCCCAGCGGGCCTCGGAGCTCTCTCCTGATGGTACTCAGGACACCAAATGTGGTGCCGGGGATCCAACCCGGGCTGGCCTTGTGTATGAGGTTAGCGCCCTACCCGAGGGACTGTCTCTCTGGCCCCTCCCCTGCTCCAGGTTGTTAATGGTGACAGTTGTCAGTCATGTCACAGCTCTTGGTTTTCACTTGGCAGTCACCCAGTGGAGTGTGAGGAGGGTGCCAGGAGGAGAGGGGCCCTGGGAATGTGGTTGGTGGCTCCTAGCTAGCTTGAACGTCCAACAGCTGGGAGTCCCACGCCCAACTACTTCTCCCTCCCCCCCCCCCTCCACAGGCCAGGAGTCCCCCCTCCCCGCTTAAACCCCCATGCACAGAAGCAGCCTGTGGCCTGGCAAGCTCAGACCATATTCCTATCTTCCCTCCCTTCCACCTGGGTTGACACAAAATCAGGGTTCGATTCTGAAGAATCACAGCGCAAGCATCTCTCCATCTCATTCCAAGGCCCATTGGTGGGTGCCTTGGAATAATTGTGGCCGAGACCAAAGGGGAAGGCAGACCACAGACAAGGCAAAATTAGACACACTCGTTAAACAAACATCAAAGCGAAAAGCAGCGTGTGTTGCTCTGGCCCTTTTTTGATGTTTACTTCCCATCTTAACCCCCTCGGCACCGACTCTGGCTCTGACTCCTCCTCGGGAATTGGCCTTTCTTTCAGACGACTTTATAGGCATTTCCTTGTCTTTCACAGAGTGAAAGAGGAAAAACCCGCCCCTTTGTGGAATCAAAGTATTCTCGCAGGCTTTGAATTATAAGGAAGAAGCTACTTTTGTTGCTAATGAATTTATGGTTTGTGCCCTCACCCCCTCTTTTTTTTTTTTTTTAAGGAAAAGGAGATTGGAAGAAGAAAAATAAGTATTTCTGGCAGAACTTCCGAAAGAACCAGAAAGGCATAATGAGACAGACTTCAAAAGGTACTAGAACACTCAGACGGGACAGTGGGGCTTTGAGCCAGCGGGTCCCCCCTCCTCCGTCCCCCACCCACTAGAATGGCCACTGCAAATCAGAATAGCTTCCCACATATGCCCGGGTCAGCCTGGGCTCTTGTGACGCTCCAGCGCCGCTCTCAGACTTGGTGCCAGGACGTGTGTGTGTAAATCAAAGCGAACAAAAGTCTGGGAGGGAGGCACCCTGGCAGCCTCTCCATAGGTCCTTAGGGTTCCCCATCACCCCATCCCCAGAAAAATCTTTGCCCTAAAATACTGGGCTCAGCATGTGTTCCTCAGGGATCTTCCACACGCCCGGCCTCTTGGGCCCTTTGCCATCCTGTGAACCGTCGCTGCCTTGGCTGGGGCTGGGGTCGTGGGCCCAGGATGCATCCTGAGACCGTGTGACATCATGGGAATGGCCTCGGCGGCTTTGTGCGGGCTGCCCGCCTCTCTGCTGGCCGTAGCTTTTGTTGTTATTTATATAGTAAGTAAATATGCCATCCCTTTGAGGCCCGGTTATATAATTTATGCTCTCCGCTCCCCCCTCCACTGAGACGGGATGGAAACAAAGCTCCCGCCAGATTCCAGCGTGGCTGAACGCTCTGAACTGCACAGAGGCGTGTGCAGTTGCCGGCCCCACTTGCTTTGTTTGACAAAAATCTTCCTGCCCTGCGCGTTTCAGAAAGTATCTCTGTTTCTCCCTGCATGCAGCAGGAAGAGGGTGGACGGATCCACAGCTTGGCCAGGGGCGCCCCTGACTTCCTTGGGGCCACAGTCAGAATTTTGACATTTTTTTTCTTTTTGGGTCGCACCTGGTCAGGGGTTACTCCTGGCTCTACACTCAGGAATTACTCCTGGCGGTGCTTGGGGAACCATATGGGATGCTGGGAATTGAACCCGGGTCAGCTGCATGCAAGGCAAACGCCCTACCAATTTTCAGTTGTTGAAAGAATCCCAGTCTCGGAAGTAAGACCTGAATATCCCTAGTGTTTGCTGTGGGTGACTTGGCACCCAGAACCAGCCGTGCTCCGGCGCAAACCTTGGATTCTTACTCAGTCATGTTTACTCTTGTCCAAGCGGGTGGGGGAGGGGGAGTACACCACAAGGTGCTCAGGGGCATCTAACTGGCTGCTGATACCCTCCAGGCCTGTGCTCTAACCCTTGAGCCACACAGCCTTGGCCTCATTAATTAATCGGAAACAATAGGAGAAACAGAAAGGAAGGGTTGGATGGGGTAATCAACTGTCTGGAAACTTGTGTGGAGTGATTTTGAACTAGCCAACTCCCCTTCACCCAGTGGTGCAGCTAGCCCAATGAATCACAGCAGTGGACTTTTTTTTAAATCCACACTCAGTGCACGGTTGTCCTTCCCCTGGGGGATGGGAATGTGCATAGTGGCTCCTTCTGATTGATTACGGGAGGGAAATGGTGTGGGAAAATGTAGGGGAGCACCCATTCCCGATCCCCTCCGCACGGGGTTCTTCTAAGTTTCTCTTTTGTTTCTTCTTCATTCTCTGCAAAAGACAAGCCCAGGCATCACTGCAGAATTTCTTAGTGACAGAGATGCCAGTAAGGCATGAATGGGGAAGGAGAGCCAGAAGATAGAGATGGGGGACACAGACTGAGGTGTTGAAGCTAGATTAGGGGCCATGCATTCTGTTGGCTGTGGTTTGGGGACCACATCTGGCTTCCTCCTGGCTCTGTGCTCAGGGATCACGCCTGGCAGTGCTCAGCAGGACTGTATGGAGTGATGGGGTTAAACCCAGGCTGGCGGCATGCAAGGCAAATGTCCTACTTTCCTGTACTATCTCTCTAGCCCCAGGAACACCCTTTGGTTTCCCTGGTGGGGGATACTTGTTCCCTCTGTAGCACTGCCTCCTTATAGTTTTGACTTGGATGTCGAGTCACGACCCTCCAGTTTGGGAGAATTACAGCACCACATGACCACGTGTTGTACCTTCCTTCCTATGCATGCTTAATGCTTCATGTCTGAGACCTACTTCGCTTGGATCCTGGCAGGAACATGTCAAGAGTGTGGCAGGAAGAGAGAGTTTCATAGGTTTTTTTTCTGCATCTGCAGCCCTGCTTCTGTTGGCACGGCAGAGGGTGCCCTCCATGCCTCTGTGCAAATGTTTCCTCATCTCCGTAGTCAGGACCCAAAGAACCCAGAGTGGAGAAAGTTCTTTATATCAGGGACTTTTTTTTATATGCTCTCTGCCCCTCTCCTCATTCCAAACTCCCTTTTGGTTTTCTGTCAGTACTACACCTTTCGGTACAAAAGCTCTGGTCACAATTCAGGATTTATTTTTACGATATGTTCCTGGGGTCTCTTCCCCCCCCCCCCCCAAAAATGGGCTCCATTGGCTTCCTGAAGGAGCAGCTTTTAACTGCCCTTGTTGTTCCATCAGTTAAGTATACACTGTTAGACAATACTCTGAGTTATAGTCCTCTTGAGCCCCAGAGGGTGAGCGTTCAAGGCTGGTGTTTTGGTATCCCTTGTTTTCAGATCTGCTATTCTTTGCCTCTCATCTCTAGGAGAAGATGTGGGCTATGTTGCAAGTGAGATCACAATGAGTGATGAGGAACGGATTCAGCTGATGATGATGGTCAAGGAAAAGATGATCACCATTGAGGAAGCTCTTGCGAGGGTAAGTGGGGATGGATATCTGGTCTGCGTTGGTGACAACTTCACCAGTTTAGTTTTTTAAAAAATTTCCAGTGAGTGGTCATTGGTTTGCAGTATTATGCTATTTCAAGGATTTAAGTTCCCACCTCTCTCTCTATGGGTGTCATTGTCACCACTCCCATTTCCCAAAGTTCTAATGCCATCCTACCCTTCTCCTGATTCATTGAAGCCCATCCCTCCACTTTCCCTCTTGTCACCATGCTCAATTTTCACTGATTGATCTCCTTTCTTTTAAAAAATGTTTGGGGTCTGGCATAGACCGAACGTGTGTCTCTGGCCAAGTTCCCTTGAGCAAGTCCAACGCCCATTGTGATGCCGTTTGAAGGGACCTTTGGGAAGGAGGTTCGTGTATAAGGGTGGAGCTCTCTTGAATGAGATGAGTGACCTTATAAAAGAGGCTCCAGAGAGCTCCCTCACCCCTCAGCCATGTGAGGACACCATGAAGAGATGGTTGCCTGTGAACCAGGAGGTGGGATCCCACTGTGGTCGAGAGCATCCCACTGAGCACTGAGCCTCCTGGACTTCCCAATCGTCACAACAGGGAGAAGCAGTTTCTGTTACAAGGAGCAGACATTCTATGTTGTTGTGTTATAGCAACTTTTAGACTAAGGTAGGGGTGTGAGAGAATAAAGGAATGAGCTATTTAATCTCCTGACAACTGGTTTCTGTTGTATGTGAAATGTAAAGAAACATAGTAAGGGAATTAAAACAACAGCAACAACAACAACATACTCGGCCCATGATAACAGCCCCTAAGAGTTGGCATTTGGAACCGAGTTTGCGAAGAGGTTGGAGTGGGATAATGGCAGAGGATTTGGGGACATTGGTGGAGAAGTACTGACACCATGGTGGTCAGTGCGGTCGGAGCATTGCAGAACTGAAACACAGCTATTAGCAGTACTGAAATCACAGTGTCTTCAAATAATAAGTAAAGTAGTATTTACTGAGGAAGTGTTGTTTTATTGGATATAAGCACTCCACATTTTAATGTGAGATTTGTGCATGTGATAACTATAAGAATAAGTGGATGGATGGATGGATGGCCAATATTTTTGAGCTGTGGACCACTTAATGAAGAAAAATTATCTTGTAGATGTCATTGCACAGTTCAAAAACCTTGTCCAAAGATAAGAATCAGTGATAAAGAATTCAATAAAAACCAAAGATATGTGACAAACATTATAAATATACGTTCCCTAAGATGTATCCAGAGACTAAACTTCTTTTTTTTTTTTTTTTTTTTTTTTTTTTAGGGAGAGGGTTACTGGGAGTTGGCGACAGGGAGAAGTAGAGTCAGTGTGGTTTTATTGTTTGTTTTGTGGTGCCAGGCACTGAATCCAGGGCCTCACACGTGCAAGGCCCACACATGACTATTGAGTCATATCCCCAGAAAATTAAACTTTAACCTGTGGACCAAGTTTAACATCTTGTTCACTTTCACTTCTAAGTGGATTCTAATTGCACTTTATTGTATCATGTTTTGTTTTGTTTTGTTTCTGATTGGGCATGTAAGGAAATCTCGTGAACATTTTTGAACACTGGAGGGGCAGTTATGGTCATGAGACAGACATCAGCAACTCATCTGCCATGACGTTACACAGTAACCCCACTGATTGTTGGATTTTCACTTAGAAGAGTTAGTTGAGTGCTATGCAGACAAGCCATAAATTTGTCAGGAGGTTTACAAACAAATGAAATTTGCTAATCACCAAGGAACTCTTGAAGTGAGTCAGGATTGACCATTGAGTAGACTCTTAGAGAGCTGAATCCTGAGCCACTGATGGGTTGAGTTGAGTATACCTGAACCAATACCAGCAGTCTGCAGTTGAGTATACCTGAACCCAAACCTCAGTAGCTGAGGGAAAAAGTTTGCTTTGTTTTACTGAGGTAATGGTGTCCAAAATATTAATAATAACAATAATTGCTGTCGATGAAGGTGGTAGGTAGGAGGACTGCTGGGGTTTGAGTCAGAGACCCTAGGGCCCCTTCTGGATGCTTGCTGACCGACTTTTGTTGCTCTGTTGATTGGGAAGACCCATGGGACCCTGAGTTCCGGTGTCTCCACTAGAGCAAAGTGGTGGCATGACCTGATTGCCTGGACATGATTCTTCTGCCCCTGTATGCTTTGGCGCAGCCAAGCCTAGCTGCCACGCATGGTGTCTGTGTGATCATGGGTGTTGGTAGGGACAAGGGCCTTGGCTTATAATTGGAGAAGCGATACTGCTGCTGCCGTATTTTCCTTGTTAAATATTAAATCTCAGTTTTTGTTTCTTTGATTTTTGGGGGGCCACACCCGCTCATAGGTTGTTCCTGGTGGGCTTCAGGACCTAAGCCAGGTCTCCTGCATACAAAGCCCACATTGAGCCCATTAAACTCCCTCCAGCTCCCCCAAATGTGGATGATGTCCTCGGACCCTCACCTGAGGGTCCCTTGCTTGATCCAGTTTGGTTGGAGAAGAAGATCAACAGTGCCTTTAGCTGGGGCTGGAGCAATAGTACAGTGGGGAGGGTGTTTGCCTTGCATGTGGCCGACCTGGGTTCGATCCCCGGCATCCCATATGGTCCCCTGAGCACCGCCAGGAGTAATTCCTGAGTGCAAAGTCAGGAGTGACCCCTGTGCATCACCGGGTGTGACCCAAAAAGAAAAAAAAAAAGAGTGCCTTTAACATGGCCAACTCTTGGTAGTATGTTTCTCTAATTGAAAAAGAAGCCCAGGCAGACTTTCCCAGTTGGGGGAGGGAGCCATGGTTTGAAGTGCTCCCTGAGCTCATCATTTCAACAGCTGGCCATCGAGTTCAGGGCCAGGGCATTCGAAGCCAACTTGGCGAGAGTGGCACAGCCACGCACACAGTTAGTTGCCTGGAGGTTTCAGCCACACGGCCTGGCTCTTGCCAGGTTGGCTGCCCATCCCTAGATTCAAAGACCGAGCTCCTGAAGAACTCGGAATATTTTGCACAAAGCCTTTTTTAAAAATACAGTGGAAAAAACAGATGACCTTCCCCAGGCATCCTAGGATGGGACACCATGTGACAGAGAGCAGAGGAGTGGAATCGTACACGGCCTGGAACTAGGGCCTTGTGGTGTGGGGCTTCTTTTTAGTTTGAATCCATCTCTCCCCGGGAAATGTCTTTGTGAGCAGGCTTGCTTTTCAAGTCCAAGGTCTCCTTTGAATACGTATCTCGCTCGCTTGTCTGGATGTTTCTCTGCTTGCCTGTTTCCACTCTGCAGAAGCCTGTGTTCTCTCTTGAGCACACACTCCCTATCTCTCCCCTCACATCTCTGTAAATAAGTCTTGATAAAAATTATCTTTCTTTCCTTGAAAATAAAACGTCACTGAGAGCAGAAAGCAGGCTGGGGAGAGACTCCACTTCCTTCAACTTATGGTCAGCATCGAGGAATCAGGGACGGGACTCTGTGATATAAAATAAATGCATTTGCATGCCTGACACTTGGGTTCCATTTCTGGCTCCACAAAAATAAACAAACGCATGAATTTCAAAAAAAATTTTGGGCACTCTGCTGGTGGACATGGTGCAGCATCATCGTATGCCTTGAAATAGTAAAGCCTTGAAATATTTATTGTATGCCTTGAAATATTACCATTGTAAATCATGATGACCGCAATAAAAATGGGGGATTCCAAGGTACTTTGATTGCTGAGGATGCAAAGGCCATCAATTCTCAGCTTGTAAGAAGGAGTGCGTTCTTCCAGACATCTGCTTTTTATTTTATTTTTGTTTGTTTGGGAACCACACCCAATGGTGCTCAGAGCTGACTCCTGGCTCTGCACTCAGGAATCACTCCTGGTGGTGCTAGGAGACCATATGGGGTGCCAGGGATCAAACCCTGGTTGGCTGCATGGAAGGCAAGCACCCAACAGACTGTATCATCCCTCCATCCCCTCTTCCTTTAGGCATCTGGTGCTGGCTGCCTCCTATCAGCAGAAACCCACACACTAACGAGCACACTCCTAGGCACTAATTCTGACAGAACAGCCCGGCATCATGGAAGACCTTATGCCATGTGCTGTTTGGAGTTAGGTGTATTCCCCCGAATGTCCTCTTATTGGGGAAAATTTTACTCATGTTCAAAGCAAGACAGTTTGGGGGCTCTGTGTGAATCTGGTCCCATTGATGGATATTTTTCTTCTGAAAGTATCCAGCCATGATTCACACTCCTGGAAACCCGGGCATTAATATAGAGGTTAGCATGAAAAAACACAGAAAGAAAAAACACAGATAGTCCATGGAAGCTGCAAAAGCATTGGAAGAGAATGAAGCTGATGAAACAGCTTGGTGTATTAAGTTCCTGTGTGACTTAATAAAGTTTCAGTTTAATATGTGTTTTTTGTTTTACTAACTGAATAGTTTCATTAAATCTAGTGGAATTTCAAATATTTTCTAATAGTCTGGTAAACTACTTACTGATTTGTTTTTTTTAAAAAAAAGTGTTTAGAGGATCTAATCTAGGTCGTTAGCATAGTCTAAACACAACTCAGGTGCTGTTTTAAGAGCATACACAGCTCTTGGCAAGTAATCTTAGGTATTTAAATTTGATGTTAGTTGTGTGATGCAGCAAAGAAGCCCCAAGTTATCCATTTATCTGAATCATTTTGGTGGTATGGCAGTAAGGATGGGAGGCAAGGAATAAATTCACATTTAAAGCTTTGGATGAGGCACTGTTGTTTCTGAATAGTGCTACTCAGCAGTAGTCGAGCTGTGTTGTAGAAACTATGCCCTTTGCCATTTGAACCGCCAGCAGCATCTTTAGGATATTGGGACGTGTATGATCATGATTTAATTTTCTTGTTTTCTTAAAAATTGGTACCATCGTTACTCCTAAAATTGCTCGTGATGGTTTAATTTGTAAATGTTACATATTTCTCAATCTCCGAAGTATATATCCAATTGCCCAAGTTCATAAATGTGTGAAAGTCTAAAATAAAGTTCTTGGGGATTTCAGGGGAAAGGTGCTTGATATTTGTCACCAGTTGACAGATGTTTTGGCATTGTAAATTTTCTATATGCCAGCTGTGTTACAATGTCAGGTTTCCTAGAAGCACAACCTGAGACAGGGATTCTCGTGAACATGATTTATTGCAGGAAAGTTTTCAGGAGGCACCTCTTAAGGGAGGGAGGCAAGCAAGCAGGAGAGACAGAGGAAGCGGCTGCACAGATTTCAGGAAAATTCTAGTCAGAGTCTGATCCCTCAGGGAGTGACAAGCTCTAGAAAGCAAATTGCCTTGTGGAGACAATCCTGCCAGAGAAAGAAGAAAGCTGATTGGAGAGGAGAAATCCGCCTCCTAGGCATCTCTGGGGAGACCGCTCCTGTCACCAGGGAAAAATTCTACAGAGCAGGGTGTGTATGTGAGCTCATGTTCACAGAAACTGGGAATATAGTAGTAACCAATTCTGCAACAGTGGTCTGGGCATCTGGTCTACCATAGCAACAGACTTAGAAACAGTACGCCTATATATTTTATTCAATTGTTTTGTTGTAGAAGTGTTTGTGCATCAATCACAGAGAGTTGGGCAACTAGAGAGGCTTGGGAAGAGATCCCAAAATAATTAAGGATCTTTCCTTTCTTTCTTTAAGTAGAGGTCCATATGGTGAAATTGGAAAGAATTTGTCTCCAAGAAGAAACAGGGGAAAAAAATGGAAAAGAACTTAATCACTTCTCACCTCTTCACCTATGAAGGGTTATTAAATAATACATTTTCAGAATGTGCGGAGGACTTTTATTTTGTTTCAGTCTCTATTGAGGACACAATAAAGGGAAATGAATTAAAATTGCAGCTGGAGGGGAGTTAGATTCAATATCATATAAATGTTCTGTACAGTAAGAACTCGTAGCAATGAGAACATTTTAAAATTGTCTCTCCCTAAAGACACAAAAAGCATTATACTACCAAAGGTGACTATCTCTCCAAGAGTCATGTCTTACGCTTTGAGAAAAACCATGAGGTTAAGGAAAAGAGGTCGCGAGGAAATAATTTCTTTCTGGGCCATACATGCACACACACTTAAAACTGTCAGGTCTTAAAAACTCTTTCAATTAAGCTAAAACAAAACACTATAAATTTGCTCCACAAGTTTAAATTCTCAAGTGAATTGGCAATCATCTTTCTTCTCTAAAACAACAAACATTGTCCTCTCATTGTTCATCGAGTTGCTCAAGCGGGCCCAGTAACGTCCCCATTTTGTGACTTGTTGTTACTGTGTTTGGCATATTGAATACATCATGAGTAGTTTGCCAGGCTTTGCTGTGCGGGCAAGATACTCTCAGTAGCTTTCCGGGCTCTCCAAGAGGGGTAGAGGAATTGAACCTGGCTTGACCAGGGTGGCTGCATGCAAGGCAAACACCCTACTGCTGTGCTGTTGCTCTCTTGGGGAGCAGAGTGGGATAAGACAGTATCAATTGTAACCAATCTGGGTTTTTTTCTTTATAAAACACACTCAATGGGTAGGGCGTCTGCCTTGCACGCAGCCAACATGGCCGACCCGAGTTCGATTCCTCCGCCCCTCTCGGAGAGCCCGGCAAGCTACCGAGAGTATCTCGCCCGCACAGCAGAGCCTGGCAAGCTCCCCGTGATGTATTCGATATGCCAGACACAGTAACAACAAAGTCTCCAATGGAGACGTTACTGGGCCCGCTCGAGCAAATCGATGATCAACGGGAGGGCCTTTACTTTACTTTTAAAACACACTCAAAAATATTTTTAGAGGTTCTATTTTTTAACTTTAAGGCACACGACACTTTGCACTTAGAAAACAAAAGGTAAATTTGGTTAGAGCATAAATTAAATCTGTATCAGATGATATACAAATAGGGGCCAGAGTGATAGTACATTAGGTAAGGTGCTAACCTTGCATGTAGCTGACCTGTGTTTTAATCTCTGGTAACATATATGGTTCCCAAGCCCACCAGGAGTGATCCCTGAGCACAGAATCATGAATAAGCCCTAGCATCCACCATATTGCCTCTCCCCCCCCCCCAAAAAAAAAGAGAAGAAAGCACAAATACTACCCTTCTCTCTAGTTTTATTGATACATGACTTTTTTTTTCTTGGGTCATACCCGGCGATGCACAGGGTTATTCCTTCCTCATGCACTCAGGAATTGCTCCTGGTGGTGCTCGGGGGACCATATGGGATGCTGAGAATCAAACCCGGGTTGGCTGCATGCAAGGCAAACACCCTACCCGCTGTGCTATTGCTCCAGCCCCAATACATGACTGTTTTATGTGTCTGGTTAATTGAAGATAGGCAGCACAGTGGTTTAACTTACACATATTGTGAAATTACTATGTACTCTTTGCTAGCATCTGCCACATCATATATGCAAGTAAGATAAAAATAGGAAAGTGAAGTTTAAAAGTTTATAGTTTAAGTATTGTGCTTACAGTAATGTTAAAGTTTAATGTAGTGACACTCATGGTTCCTGCATTTCACCATCACCCAATTATCCGTGACGTCCCACCACTATTCTTAGGTAATTGAAAAAAAGGAAATTTTTCATTGTCATAAGAACTCTTAGGATTTCGTCTGCTGCCAGCTTTCCTGCATGTCATGCAATGATCCTCACATATCCTTATCATCTCCATCCCACAACTTATCTTAAAACAGGAGGTCTGAGACTTGAGAGTTGCTCAATATGCCAGTGCTGATATCCAGGAGGCCTGAATTTCCATGGTTCCCAAGCACTGAATTGGGAGTTGCTCTAAGCACCAAAGGATATGCAGGGCGGTGGGGGGGGGATGGTTGGTGGGGAAACACCCTAAACAAACAAAAATCAAAATCTGGAACCCTATACCTTTTAACCCACATGCTCCAATTCCTGTCTCTCACTCTCACCTTCTCAAACACATCTGCATCTTCTATTACTATTTATTTGGTAATGGAGGAACTTGCCTTTTAGGAGACGGGGAGAATCCATATATAAATGACATCACAACATATTTGTCTTTCTTTGACTCATTTCACTTTATGTAATACCCTCAAAGACCATTCACATTGTTGCAAGTACAGTGTTTTCATCATCATTTTAAATGGGGAAAAAAAGATTGCGTGTGTGTGTGTGTGTGTGTGTGTGTGTGTGCGACCTCCTTTGTCCGTTCATTCCTTAGGCTGCCTCCCAGTCTTGGCTGCAGTGAAGATGGGAGCACATGGACTCTTTGTTCCCACTCTTTCTCCCCAACCCGAATGGAAACGGCAGCTATAAAATATGTTTATGGTTAATGCAGTTCAGAATTTTTTCTGTTTTCATTAAATGTGACGTTTTCTTAGTGAATCCTCAGTAGATTAAGGAGCTAGTTGGGGTTCAGACGGATGGGGTTCCACCTCACAGGAGAGAGGTCACTATCTCCCATATATCCCATATTAAAGAGCATTCTAACATACAGCTTCAGTGTGCCACAGAGATTATAATAATATTCACGCCCCTAACACACTGGAAAGATTAAAATAATCTTAGTATCTCTCATAGCAAAAGAACTTGCTATGAACTTGGAGCTCTCTGTTGTATGATGCCTTCCTGGTGGTTATTATCCAACCATCAGAAGAAACGTCCTTATTCAGGCACAGAGTATAAGAGCTTTGCAGCACTATCTTACTGAATTCTAGTCACACCCCTCTGAAATAGATTCAAGGTTTTCCTATTTTCCTGGTGGAGAAAATTAGATATAACACTTGGGCGCTGACCACTTACCTTTATCTCCTTCAACTGCCACTTTTGGGAGAAGTTAGCTAATGAACTCTGACAGCCTCTATTTGATTCTGTGGCCATGCTCTTAACCAATATCAATCTTGTCTACCTCTCCAGGTTCATTTCCTGTCACTTGAGTATACAGAAAAGAACCCTGTAGTAGAAAGAATGCTTCCTCCTTTGATGAGTTGTCAGGGACCCCATCCCCATAGCTTCATTTGTGGAAGGGCTCACCCCACAAATGAAGCTATGGGCAGTTGGCTCAGATTATTTCTGATTTTTGTGACTCTCTTGTGGAACACTGATTTGCTCAATATCTTAAATTCATATTCATAACCTGCTTTCTGGAATGAATTTAATGTACTCACATAACGTTTCTGAAATACCTGGACCATCTCACATTTGCCACTTGGTAAGATCCTCTAGCTAAAGTTAGCACATTTTCTGCAGTATGTCACCTGATTTTCTATACTTTTCAGAAAAGTTGAAACCAAGTTCTGAAATGCCAACTTGTAGTGACTCTGAACATACTCTAGCTTACCTGTTATTTTCCCTCATCCATCCAAGACCCCAATATATTTGAGTTCTGATAAATCTCAAAATATATGTTAGGGGATTGCATTGGATTGATAGCTTGAAGTAATCTCAAACCAGTCAATGAGTAATTAAAAGAAAAATGGTCCCACACTTCCCCTGGGTTTAAAGTCTGTGGTTTACCACATTGTGTCTGCTCCTTGGAAAAGCTTGGAAAGGTAGTTCAGAGGACAAACTACAGGCAATTCATGTTTTTAAACTTAAAAAGAAATTGAACTGAAAAAAATGAATTTGGATGTTGGAGGCAGTTGCAGGCGGAAATGAAGGGTTTTATTGAGCACAGAATACAAAGCGTCCCTTATGTCCTGGGTTTGAATCAGATGGAAACCCACAGGGAAGGGTGTGGATCTTCCTTTGGGTTTGGGGAACCTTGACTCTGGCTGGCCCTTGGGTCAGCAGCAGTGGCTGAAGGAAACCATTGCTTCTTGTTGCAGCTCAAGGAGTATGAGGCCCAGCACCGCCAATCAGCCGCCTTGGACCCTACTGACTGGCCAGATGGTTGTTACCCAACATTCGATGGCTCTTCAAATTGCAATGTAAGTCGCTGTCTCTTTGAGCATCTTCACCATCTCAGCTGAAAAAGGGCATCCTAGGGACCAGAGTGATGGGCTCAAAAGGCTGACATTCATGTTGTACACATAGGAGCCCTGGTTTGGAATCTGTTGGTCCCCCAAGCACTGTCAGGAGTAATTCCTGAGCATGACTGGATGTGATCCCTGCCTTGAGATATCTTTTGTTTTGTATCTCTGAACACCTGCCAAAGCGTCTCTTGCATGTTACTCAGATTTTGTTATCCGATAAGATTCCTGGCTGTCTATTTGTGCTATTTGTGTTGTCCGTTCCTACCCCCCAAGCCCCACTTTATGGTCAAGTGAATGCTGCTTAGTTTTTACCATGGAAAAGAGTTCATTGCTCAATTCAGTATGATCACATTGCTTCCCTTACCACAGTCCACTTCCAGAAATTCTTCATTACCCCACATGAAAATCTCATAACCGTGCGTTCTCCATTCTCATCCCTCCTTATTCCCTGTCAGCCATGTTCCACTTTCTGTCTATGCACTTGACTATTCTAGGTACCTTGTGTAATTGGCATCATACATGTGTTCTTCTGTTTCCAGTTTATTTCACTGAGGACAATGTTTTAAAGATTCATGATGTTGCTTTGTATGTTAGATGTTTCTTCCTTTTTATGGAGGAGTTACATTCCTCTGTCTCTGTGTACCATATTTTAGTTATCCATTGATAGATTATCTATTGATAGATGTTGATAGATACTTTGTTATTTATTCCTTTAACTGCTATGAACAATTTTTCTGTGAGCATTGGTATATTGGTCTCTGAATCCCTGCCACCAATTCCACATATGCAGGAACCACATTTTTGGATGTCATCCTAAGTTTCACTTATTGAATCATTTCCATAATGTTTTCTACAGTGGTCACACCAGTTTACATTCCCAGTGACATTGCACGCAGATTTCAGATTCTCTGTTTCCTTGACAATGTTTGCTGTTTTCTCTTTGATATTTCCCAACCAAAGGGATATGAGATGGTATTATCTTACCTTGAATTGAGTTCCTGACTCACTAGTTATTATGAGGAACTTTGTATGTTGTTGGTTCATTGTGTCACTTCTTTGGTTAATTATCTATTCTAGTTCTTTGCATATTCCTGGATTGGATTGTCAGTTTTGTTAATTGTTGTTGAAGTTTTTTTATATGTTTAGTTAATTCCTTATCAGATATATGATAAATGTTTTCTATTAGTTGCGTTTTCTTCACTCTTTTGTGTGTATGGAAGTGGTGGGGAGAGTAGTTGGTATGGCCCATTTAGCTGTGCTCCTGGCTTACCAAGGGACTATATGTGGTACCCAGCATCAAACTCAGTTTGGCCATGTACAAATCAAAGTACCCTGCCCACTGTACTATCTATTTGGCCTCTTCTCTCTCCTGATGGCATCCTTTGAGGAACATGTTTTTAATTTTATTTATTTATTTATTTATTTTGAAGTAAATAGATTTTATTTGGAGCATTTTTAGGTATGGAGGGAGAGAGAGTGAAAGAGTAACGTACTCAAGAGAGAACACAGGCTTCTCCAAGGGCAAAGAGAGCCCCTACACACATCCTAGCATTAGTCACGAAAGCATGAAAGTACACATCTCAAGAGGGGAGATGCGGGCGACACATGTGCTTGGGCACCACATGTGCTCGGCCATGTGGGTACAAGCAGCACACGGGCTCGGGCAGCATATGCGCCACATGTTTTTAATTTTAAAATCAAATTTACATTTTCTTTTGGTGCCTATACCTTTAAGGTTATATCCAAAAAGTGACTGCAAGTTCTGAAAGTTTTATTTTAATGGTTTAGAGCTTGAGTTTATTACTTTGTTAATTTTTGCTTGCTTTTCTTGGCCACACCTGGTGGTACTCAAGGGCTCCTTGCAGCCTTGCTCAGGTCACTATCAGCTCAATGTTCAGGAGACTATTTAGTGTTGGGGATGAGACTCCAGGGCCTCCTACCTGCAAAGCATGCACTCAGCACATCGACTTTTCTCCCCGTAACTAGATCTTAAGTTCAGATTTTTCACTCATTTGTAATTAATATTTCTACATTATATAATATGATTTCATCCAGCTTTCCCTGTAGCATTTGTTGAAAAGAGTGTCCTTTTCCTTCAGTGGAATGGTCTTAGTACCTTTTTTGGAAAGGAACTGACCATATATGCAGGAGAATATTCCTGGAATCTCTCCCCACCCCCCCTTGATTTCTATGTTTGTCCTTTTGTAGGAATCATACTGTGTTTGATGAATGCAGTTTATAGTCATTTTTGAAATCTGGCCGTGTGAGCCCTCCAACTTGGCCCTTGTTCAGATTGTTTTGGCTCATCAGGCCCCTTGAGAGTCTACATGAATTTTAAGATAAATTTGGCTAGTTCCGCAAGAAATACTTTGATATTTTGATAGTTATTGCATAGGATCGTTCAGGATAATGAACGTGACAGGGATGAATGGAGATGTTACTGGTGCCACTCGAGCAAATCAGTGAGTAAAGGGATGTCAAGTGATAAGTGATCATTGCACTGGATCAGTTTGGGTAATATTGTTATCTGACCTATATGAAGTCTTCTATGAAAATAGGCTACCTTTTCATGTGGTTATGTCTTCTTTATTTTCTCTCACAGTTTTTGGTTTTCAGCATATCTCTTTCCTCGTAGTTCAAATTTACTTCCAGGTCCTTTCTTTTTAAGGCCCATTTAAGATAACATTTTTTTCTTTGTCTCTTAATTTTAGTGTGAGGGATTAAACTGAGGATCTCATACATTGTAGTAATAGCACTATAGCACTGTCTTCCCGTTGTTCATCAATTTTCTCGAGCGGGCACCAGTAACGTTTTACAAATTAATTAAGTGTATAAAAATGTAATTGATTTTTTTTTTTTACAAAATGTTGGTTGTGTTTCTTCATCTTTGCTGAATTTGCTTGTTATCTGGACCGTGTATGCTTGCATGTGTATGTATGGGTATACCTGCATGTCCGTGGCATGGTTAGAATTTCTACATAGAAGATCACACCTGTGAACAGAGATAGTTTTTCTTCTCTTTCAATTTGGATGTATTTTATTAATCATGCTATTTTGTTTTATTATTTTCTCTCCAGCCCCTCATGAAATTATAATATTGCCAATGTGCTTCTTAAACTAGGAGTGCTACAAAGATGGCAAGAATGAGAATTTCAGAATTTCTGGTATTCCGTGGTGCCATTATCTAATTGAGTAGAATGAGAATAGATAAAATCAACGTTTCTCAGATTTTTTTTCCTTTTTGGGTCACATCCGGCATTGCACAGGGGTTACTCCTGGCTCATACACTCAGGAATTACTCTTAGTGGTGCTCTGGGGACCGTATGGTATGCTGGGAATTGAATCCAAGTCAGCCACATGCAAGGAAAACACCTTGCCTGCTGTGCTATCTCTCCAGCCCCATTTTCCAGATCTTATATCGATTTTTTTTTAAATTATGTCCTCTCATTCTGCCTCCACATTTTCAGTCTCCTGTCTCCTATTCATGCTGCACACATTTGGTCATCTTTTCAAAACCTCCCTCTCTTTTGGTGCTGGTGTCGCCTATCGACCCATATTGTTAGGACCCAGGGGCGACTTCCAACCATGTTCACCCAACCAGCCAGTCAATGTTCAGGCCTGGTAATGTAGTGCTCTGTGGGTTCACTGGTGCCTGAGGCCTCCAGGGCTATACCAGGCAGTGCTTGGGCGTCTATGCCAACAGTTGACACATGCAAGGCATGTGCTCCAATCCTTTCCACTACCTCCTCAAACTTACCTTTCCTTTTAGCTATTGTGAGTATGTAACATCTGATAGTTTTCTAGTTCCCAAGGTAAATCCCAAACTTTGGGGCACATTCAAGACCACACTACGTAATGTGACTTCAGCCAGTTTTCAACTCTCATCTCTCATCCCATTCAAGACCCTCCACTCCAGTCACATAGGGCAATGATTGTGTTATTAAATGCACCCTATAATTTTCAAACTTTTATTTGTGCTTTTATTTGTGTAGTGGCATTGTGTCAAGAGACTTTAATTCACGTAAAGATATCTTTGGAAGATGTCTTCATATAAATGTTTCTAGGTGAAAATCGATACCTAATTCAAAGTGAAGTCCACTTTTTTTCTGAGACTTTTGGATAGATCAGGGTTTTGGCCACACCTGGCAATGTTGAGGACCTGCTTCTAGTCCTTTGCTCAGGAGTAACTCCTGGTTGGCCATAGACATGGCAAGCCCCTTACCTCCTGTGATATTTCTCAAATCCTCTAAGACTTTCTTTAACATCCTAAATATGGTTTATTACCTCCAATCTTATGCTTTTGCTAAATCATAGCTTTATGTACTAAGTTTAAAAGTTATTGGAGATCAGAATTCATTGCTGCTCTGTCTGTCCCTTAGAAATTATGAGCTCCTTGAACAAGAAAGGCATGCTGCGTTTTCTTTGTGTCTTCAGTGGATGGACTAACTCAATGTCCACTCCCAAATGGTATTCAGGGGGGCCTGGGAACCACTCTTCATGATTTCTTTTTTAGTTTCATTTTTATAAGCCACACCTGGCAGTGCTCAGGGCACACTCCTGGCTCTGTGCTCAGGGGTCACTTCTGGTGGTACTCGGGGTATCAAAAGAGATGCTGGGGATCGAAACCATGTCAGCTACATGCAAGGCAAATGCTTTCTCTGCTTTATAGTCTCCACACCTCCACCCCTTTGGTGATTTTTTTTTTGTTTTATCAAAGAGACCATTGGTTGATGGTAATTCAAAGATGCGTGGCTGCTGCTCTGGTCCAAGGGTACTGGCCACAACCAAGGCCATTCCAGTGGTATTTGGGGGTCTTTATGGGCTATGCTCACTTTTTTTGGAGGGGTATTTGGTATCAGGATCAAGCTCAGGTCAATCACATGCCAGGCATGAGCCCTGACCCTTTTGCTATCTCTCTACTCTCCATTTTACCTTCCTTTTCATAAAAGCTGGAG